AGTTCCCCAAATATAAATGCAGTACTCTCAGGAGGAAATCTAGGCTGAGGGGGCTCTGATAAGAAAAAAATATATAGAGAGAACTTTAAAAATCATCTAAATTGCAGATGCAAGCCACAAAAACATATGCTGCTTTTTCACCCGTAATAGTGGGCTCTGCCTCCTTTATTTTATTTAAAAAATTTTTTAATTGGAGGTACTAAAGATTGAACCCATGACCCTGTGCATGCTAAGCACGCACTCTGCCACTGAGCCATACTCTCCCCCTCTTCTTCATTTTAACTTGTTTATGTATGATGCATAGGTGGCTGCTAAAAATAGGGATGTGTTACACTACTGAGATCAATTCTTTGACACCAACTACCTGGAGTTAGCATCAGACTCCATGGTATTTAAGGGTGCAATCCTCAACAATACTGCCCCCATGTGAGATCAGATGCCAGTTACAAGTCTTGGGGGCCACCCATACTTCTGACTGACAGTTATAAATTCAGGGTTCCCACAACCTCCTCAGGTTGGATAATTTACTAGAACAACTCATGGAACTCACTAAAAGTGCTATATGTAGAATTATAGTTCTACTGTAGTTTTATTAGAAAGGATACACATAGGACAAGGTCTGGAAGGGTCTTAGGCATACAGCCTCCATGCACTCTTCCCATGGATTCAGGGCAACATCACTCTCCCTGGGTATCAGTGTGTTTACCAACCAGGAAGTTCCACTGATCCCTAAGTTTTCACTGGGGTTTCATTACTTAGGCTCGATTGAATAAATCATTGGTCATATGATTGAACCCCACATCTAGCCCTCCTCCCCTCTCTAGAGTTCCTGCTGGCCTAAAGGTCCAACTCTAACTATGTGGTTGGTCCTTCCAGTGACCAGCCGCAATCTGAAGCTAACTAGGGTCCTACAGTCCGTTCACCAGCATAAAAAAGATACTCCTATTAATCAAGAAATTAGAAGTTTTTTTGAAGCTCTGTGCAAGGAGCTAAGGACGAAGGTTAGATATGTTCTTTCTTATACCACACCATGTTTGAGGCATTTTGTCAAACTCTAAAAGCACACAGACACAGACAAGAGACTACAAAGCTTGAGGGGAAAGGCCATAATCTAACCATTGGTCCTAATACTTACATTACCAGAATTCTGGAGAGTAGAGGGAAGAGGATAATAACAAAGGAGGCAGGGGTAAGAGAGGAGGAAGTAGGAGGCTTCAACCTCTATAATCTTACCCACGTGCCCGCTGCTCAATTCTAGCTTTTAAAAGTAAACAGGAGGGCCTGAAGTAGTTTTACCCCATAGTTTCAACTCTATAGTGAGTATAAAAATAAGGATATGAGTGGGTTTAGGAAAATGCATTACTTTCTAGTGACACTTCCCTAAAATGCCTTGTCATCCAGTGGATCCCCGGGGCAGGGGTTGGGGTAGGAGGTGGGATATTCAGTTAGAAAGAGGACAAGGACTTTCCAAGGGCTGCTACCTAAGATAAGACCAAAGGAGCAAGTCCTAAGAAGTGAGCAGAAAGCAAAATACAAGGAAGACAGCAAAGTATCTGCAGAGAGGACACATCTGAGACCATCCATAAAGCAGTTTCCATACGTGGTTCCCAGAAAAACCCTGTTCTGAGGCCCAGGACAGAAGCAGGAGGGAGCCTCAGGGGGAGTAGCAGCTTTTGAGTTCCTAGATGGGAAGGAGCTGCTGCCTGGGGCTCAGATCCAGAAATCATCTTCGGAATCGAGAAGCTTGGCAGTATCCCAAAGAGAAATCTTATATGAAGGGCCCAAAGCATCTAGATACCCTCCTCCTGAGTCTGTTCTCTCCCCTTCCCTAAAGCTACCCAGACTGGGGTTCCTTCCCCTTTTGCAGCTCCAGGCACCTGGAGCCTTGGCGCCCTCCCTCAATTTCGAGCTGGTCTCAGCTATCCTCACCTTCTGGAAAAGACAGACAGTAGAGAGTGAACGCCAAGTAGGTGGGAGGAAGGTAGTGTAGCTCACAGTTCCCATCCTCACACCTGCCTTTCCAGAGCCAGCGCCACGAGTGTACACAAATTGGGTGTTCACGAATTGCCACTTCACCGTTCCCTGTCTCTGGTCACCCCTGAAGCCAACTCCCTCCACGTGTCCACCTCCCCCACCCACACAGAGAAACACAGATTCACACTGCGCTGGGCGGGGAGCCTGGGGTGAGGGCAGGGGTGTTCGGAAGGCAGGGGAGAGAGACAGAGGGTCCGAGGCACTTTCTGCACCCGGATCTAGTCTCAGCCAGCGCCCCTCACGGATGCCACTTCTCGGCCTCGAACCTACCTCCTCCAACAGCGACGGCCGTTTCCCTCCACGAAGGCCTCCCGCGGGATGACTTCCTGCGTCTGGAGCTCCTGGACAAAAACAGACCCCGGCTAAGACGCTCGCGATTGGCTGAGGGACTGTATCCTCTCCCAACAAGTGCCGTAATTCTGGGCGCCCGAGGGATTCGTTTTCAGGCTAGTGCAGCATGCAGACCCCCACCCACACACCATCACATCCTACCACTCCTCCCACGGCCGTCCGTCAATCGTCAGGTGTAAGTCCTTCCTGTCCCTTTGCAGCTGAGCGCGACACACCTCCACGCCCGTCCAAGGGACAGCGCGGTCACGTGACCCGCCGTCAGCCCCACGTGACCGCGCAGGCCGCTTGTCTGCCGCAGCCCTGCAGCACCGATGGCAGTCTTCTGCCTCTGGGCTCGAGCTGCTTGCTAGAACAGTCTGAAGCTCCTGACCGTGCTGAAGATACAGAGCTGGAAGGAAGGCTGGGCCGGAGCCAAGCTTCCAGCCCTAGGCTGGGCCTTGCTCTGTAGGAGCACAGGGCTGGCGACGAACGCTCGATGAGGAGTTTCGAGACAACTGACTTTCAGTACTGATTCTGTATAAAACTCGGGTGACATAATAAAACACTCCCGGGATCTGTCTTGAGAAATATCGATAGGCAAAACTCGCATTTCCACCACTGGGATGATCTCTATTAACACCTGTGGTTTGTGAAGAGAGGCAAAACTGCCACTTTGCCCTACTTCCCTGAACCTTGCACCCTAGAATCGGGTGGGGTGGGCGGAGAAAAAAGCATATTGCACTTACAGAAAAATTTTACAAAAATTGGGTAAAGACAGCATAGCTTACTGGATATTAGTTAAATCCAGTGTTGGGATTTACTTTCTACTGATCCAGCAAGTTTTCAATCATGAGAGACTGATGTTAACTTGCAGATGTCTTGTCTAATAGGTATGGAAATGATTTATGTCCAGTGCAACAGAGAGCATCAATGGTTTCAGTTTATTGCCCTTAAGATATTAATCAGCTTTGTATTTGACCCAGCAATGTTACACTTTTATTAATTTTGTTTGTATAAAATTGAATGTATATTGTTATATTGATTGTATTGTGTATATTGTATATACACATCTCCTTCGACAATTTTCATAATCTTAGTAGTTAACTGTGTTGAAAAAAATCTTCCATATGTTCATTTCTAATTTACAAATCATGATTTTACCTTTTCAAAAATTAACAGCATCCTCAGACAAAACAAAAATAACATTTTCATCATGTCTGAAAATAATGAAACATGATTATTTCCCACAAGTCTGGATTTCCTCTCCTAATAACTCTATCCCTCACTTCTGTAATTCTTCTGTCTGAAGTTATGGCATGATCTTTTCACTTGTTATTGTGAATACACATAACATAAAATCATTTTGACCACATTAAAGTGTACAATTCAGTGGTATTAAGTACATTCACAATGTTGTGCAACCATCACCACTATCTACTTCTAGAACTTTGTTGTCACTCCAGAGGAAATGCTATGATTTTTTTTTTATGTAATAGTCATGTAAAAAGGTTGCCATCATTCTACAGGAGAGTAGTATAAACTTAGCGACCCTGGTAATTTTACTTTTCTTTAAATAAACATTTCATAAGCTAGTCTTTCTTAAGTGTCATTCCTTTTCAACTTTTCTAGATAAGTTTATCTCTAGAAATTCTTTTTAACACTTAGTTTATTCATTTATAACTGTATCCTTTCCAACATGTCCACCTATAACTTGAGGCACTAGATGTAAGCATATTAAAAGAAAAAACCCTGTCTTATTATTATATCTCCCCATGCCTGTCTCTGAAAACTTTTTTTAGCATAGTGTATTTTTTTAGACTTTTTTAATTGAGTTATAGTCATTTTACAATGTTATGTCAAATTCCAGTGTAGATCACAATTGTTCAGTTATACATGAACATGCATATATTCATTGTCACTTTTTTTTCACCCTGTAGCATAGTATTTTTTCTAGATATGAGATATATGAAGTTTCTCAGCAAGTCACATTGAAATTGCATAGAAATTGTGTCTATTTACACATTTTCAAAATGGGATCTAATTTTCAATAGATGATATCACATTCTTCTCTATTTCACTGGACATAAAAGAATCAGTGCCATTTCATGCCAATAAATAGATCATTTTTAATAGCTGCATGGTATTTCCTTAATACTTTCCTTGGACTAGGATCACAAAGAAAATCTTATTCCTAACCCCATTTAATTGGTGACACTGAAGCAACACCTGTACTTTGAATTGCCAAATGTGTAGATTTGGCCAATTTAGTTCTTCAAACTGGCCTCGTTCCAACTGCAACCCTCACTAAATGTCTCACTTATGCCAGGCAGATAGGTTACATTCATGCTACTGGAACAGATTTTCCAATTACACACTTTTCTTCATACCACTACTGCTCATTTCCAAGAATGACCTACTGGGTTGTCTTATCCTACTTTTCAGTGGCCAATTTAAGTGGGTCCCACTTCTCTGATGCATTCCTCAAATACCACAGCCCACAGAAATCCCTTCCTTCTTGAGCTCCAGGAATGGGATTTTTCCAATGAGGGTCTATTTGTCATACTACTAATTATCTATGTTTGTAAGTGTGCCCATGTACCTACACCTGGATTTTAAACTGAAGAAGGGTCACTTTGGCCAATTTTCACATAGAACTTTATTGAAAACACAGACTCGAATAGAGAACCATATGTTTAAACAACAAATAGCAGGGTAGCTTACACACACGGCTCAGTTCATTGAAAGCTCAATACTGAAAATACTGCAATCTGGACAGCAAGACAAATATCAACAAATTTTTTTCAGCACTAATAGTCATTTGGCATCCACAAAATGATCCAGCTCAAATCAAGAATTGGACAATGTTAACATCAGCGTCAAAAATATAAGTTACAACATAAAACCAGACTGAAAACCAAAGCACTACTCAGGGCTCTTTGGGAACATAAGGCTGATCAGAGGCAGGTGGTTAATCCTATTAGCTTTTTTGTCCCTCAGGATCATTCTGATTGTCTAGTTGGACTTGCAGTTCCTCAGCTAACTTCTCAAACTCGTGGAATGCAGAAATAAGCGGCTCAAGACTGAAATCATCATCAATTAAGGACATTGTTCCACTTTTTATAATATTACTGATATTCTGAAACATTTTAATAACAATCTGAATGTTATCGTTTGTCTCTTCTATGTTAAAGAGCCCCACAAATATTGATAGAGCTTTGGCACTGAATAGTTTTTTTGCCACCATAGGATTTTCAGACAAATTCAATAGCATTTTCAGAACATGAAACTTTGTTCTTGCATTGCCTGTAGTTAATAAGGAGAGAAACCCAGACATATAATTGGCAACCAGTGTGTGATAGTCAGTAGTTGTAGTAAGGTGTCTAAGCATCCTTAATCCAAGCAGCTGCTCAGGGGAACCCATGCTATGAGCAAGGGTTTCTTCACACACTTGACATACGAATGTCTCAATCATGTTCAGATTTGGATAAGGTGGAGCCATGTGAATCATATTTTCCAAAAAACTTGTCCTAACACGGGAGGAGGGATAATTGAGCAAGGTTTCAATAAGTGAGACAACACCTGAATCACGAATGAAATCGCGGGTAAATTGAGAAGCACTCCTCATACCCATTGCAATTTTAGATATTTCATGAATAAAAGGATCTCGAATTTTGTCCATTAACAGAAGGAGTTCTTCAAACTCTTCAGGACCAATTTTAAGCTCACATTGTATGCAGCTGCAGGACCAATTCTCAGGCTCTGCACTCTCCTTGGCCTTAAGATGCTCTCGAATTTCCCTGACTGACCGGTAGGATGCATCATAGTGAAATGGGAACTCAGGGTCAGGTTGATCAGGCTGCAGCAAAGACTCCTGGTCTTCCCCTTCTGGGGTAACCTCCACAATCTTGGGCTTTCCCTCAAACATTTCAGAGTACACAGATGCTACTGCTTCTTCAGGAATTCTAAATGGGCTTGGGGATGGGAAGCCAACCCCATGACAAAGACCAGGTTTGAATTCAACAGTAACCTCATCCCAGGTTTGGGGCCTGGATGATACATTAACTTCCTCTTCAGCTGAATCTCTGAACCTGGGAGCAGCCTTGTACACGGGACGGGGATTTAAGTCAAAGCAGGCCTCATCCCTGTCCCAGAACCAGGACCCAAATATGGCCTCTTCTTCAGACTCTGGCCTGGCCTCTTCTTTGGCCACAGCTCCCAAATTGGACTTATCCTCTGTCCAGAACAAGGACCCACCAATGGCCCCCTCCTCAGCCCCTGGCTCGGATTCACAGATAGCCGTAGCCCCAGCTTCCATACCGGCCTCTTTCTCTGCCCAGAACCAGGACCCAATAATGACGTCTTCCTCAAATCTGGACTCTTGTTTGGCTCTATCACTGTTGTTAACATCATTCTGGGCCCTGGACTTCAAGATAGTATTAGGCTCTTCCTTGTCTCTGGGCCTGAATCTACTATTGGCCTCTTCTCCAGGCAAAAACCAAGACTCCTTATAGTACTCATCTTCAGACTCAGATTCAAAAAAGTCCTCTCTCTTTGTCCGGAGCTTGGACCTGATATTTGGCTCATCCCTGACTCTGGGCCTGAACAAGTTATTGGTATTTTCTCCAGCCCACAAGCAGAATGGGTTGCCAGACTCTTCCTCAGACCCAGACCAGGAATCAATATAGGGATCTTGCTTGGATCTGAGCTTGGATCTGGGATTAGGCTGATGCTTGGCCCTATGCCTGGACCTGGTATTGGCCTCTTCTCGGGGCCATGATCTGATACTGGCCTCTTCTCCAGCCCAGAAAGAAGACATTGTAGAGGTCTCATCTGCTGACCAGAATCCAGACTCATTAGAGGCCTCCTCTCTGGCCCTGGGCCTGGGATAGCACCAAGACCCTGTATTAGTTTCCTCCCCTGATCCAAACCAGGGTTGGATTCCTGTCTGAACCTGGGAGCCAGGAAAGGTCTCAGTCTCCACACCGACCAATTCCCTATCCACAGGTAGGCCCATAGGTTTAGCAACTGACCCAGACTCAGAACTGACCAGTGGCCAGGCTACCGCATTGTTCTGGGACACGCTCTCTGTTTGGGACATGGCCTCAGCCCCAAACTCAGTCTGGGCCCAAGCCTGGGCTTCATCCTTGGGCCGTGTCCCAGGGATTGCCTTGGCTTCAGTCTTAGGACGTGCCCCACCTACTGCTCTGGCCTCAGTTTTGGGCCTCGCTCCTGCCACCACTTGGGATTCAGTTTTGGGCCTTGCCCCGGCAATTGCCTGGGACTCAGTTTTGGGTCTTGCCCCGGCCATTGCCTGGGACTCAGTTTTGGGTCTTGCCCCAGCCATAGCCTTGGACTCAGTTTTGGGCCTTGCCCCAGCCACAGACTTGGAC